TAATGAAAGAAAGAAAAATAAATAAACAAAATAAGAACATAAATAAAATAAAAGTTAACTAAGTAAATGAAAGGAAATGAAAGGTATAAACTTGATATTAATGAAAGCAAAGCATAAACATTACATAAAATACAAAGAGAGAAAGCAAAAACATGATCTTGATCTGGAAACCAAGATGCTTAAATGCATCGCAAATGCCTTCTTTTATAGGCCAAGATTAAAAACTATTGATTTGATGACTAATTGATGAATGGGTGGCCAACTCTTGACTTAGTGACAATCTTTATCTTCTTTTGTCTACCCAAAATATCATTGATAAAGTCAAAATTAGAATCACTTGAAACATGAAAGTTGTAGGCAGTTGTCTCAGATTTCTAAGGTAAAAAATTGAGGTCATTTGGATTTCTAGAACTCCATATATGAGCCAAATATTGAATAGTGCTCGGGCTGGAGGACAGATTCAGACTTCTTTGTTGTTGCTATAATTTGAACTTGAAAATGACCTTTTTAAATATAGGCTTCATATGAAAGTTTTAGGCCTATGTCTTACCTTTCTATCTATATAAAGTAGACCTAAATCCGAGATCTATAGCTCCAGATATGACCCAATTATCGAATAGTGTTCCAGTTTAGATTGCACCGGTATCTCTTTTTCAAGTTTGGCCATCTCTTTGTCCTTTCAATTTCAGTTATTAAATTCATCAATCAATCCTTTCATTTATGCGATAAGTCTGCACTTAAAATGAACATTTACCATAAATTAAAGGTATCTTATATTATTAGATATGTTATTATAAAACATGTTTTAGTTAATGAGTTATTGATACTTCAAGTGCAAAATAATAATATAAAACCTTGATAAAAATACACTTTTAAGTACTAATCAGATACTAACATGTTTTGTATTTGTTATCTTATTCACTCTTAATACTTTGCTTGTTAAATGGCTAATCTAGATTATGTTGTATAACACTTGGTACAACAAATATTTGGCACTTTCATTGCCTAACCTTGTGGTATAACTGACACTTGTGCTATGAAAGGAACTTGATTTGTCATTAACATAAGTTATAATCATGAATACCTGACAACATTTACAAGTATTAGTATTATTCAAATAAGATAACTAATGTAATCATGTTAACAATTTATAATCCGATGGAAACCTCCTTTGTGCGTGGTTTTCAATTGAATAATAAGAGTTTATATTATATTTGTTTGAAATAATATTAGTGGATTCTCTAACCTTGACAATTGTTTTTAGCATTGTTTACTCCTTATATCAATATCAAATTTCAAAGCTCTCATTATTATTATTATTATTATTATTATTATTATTAGTATTACTACTACTATTATTATTACTATTAATATTATTACTATTATTGTTACTATTACTATTACTATTGCTATTATTATTAATAATATTATTGTTGTTGTTGTCATTATTGTTTATAATTTATACAATTAACCGCCCTATAGTTCTATTCCAGTTTTGCCGTATTATTTATTACTTCAACACTCCTGCACTTGAAAAAAGACATTAATTTTTTGTTTATGTCATTAAACTTGTCATTTGTTCTTGCTTATCCATTATGGATTCCATTAGCCAAAGCTAATTTCATCATTTGTTCCTAACTATCTAACATTAATATCATTAGCCAAAATTAATCTGATTATTTATTCCTGGCTATCCAATATGGATATCATTAGTCAAGGCTAATCTCATCATTTGTTTCCAACTATCCAATTAGATACCATTAGCCAAAGCTAATCTTACCCTTGTTCCCGTCTATCTAACATGGATTCCATTAATCAAAGTTAATCTCATCATTTATTCCCGACTATTCATGTGTTTTTCAATATAATAGCATTAAAGTCTCATCTATTATAAAATGACATAATGTATTCTATGTATTTCAATTTATGTAATTCTACTAAACATATTCAAGGATAATATTTACTTCCATAATTTCATTTAATTTATCACAATGTTGCTAAATAGTATTCAATCAATTCAAGTATTTACCTTTCAAAGATTTTCTTTTCCAAATCTTTATGGTGACTAAAACATAGGCTTCTTTCCAATTGTTTATTCCATCATTCACAATCATTTCTATTTCAAATAATTAAACACAAGCTAGTACCCTTACATTATGTATAAACTCAATTTCTACTATCTTGTTTGTTTCTTTAAAGATGTTCATCATACAAGGATATTTTCTTCCATTTTCTTCTCTTGGCTAAACATATTGTCTCCATTCTTTCAAATTTATTTAGTAGATCATCACTTTCACTCCAAATATATCTATGTTAACATGAAATAATCATATATCAATACTTTAAACTTACAATTAATACAATTCATGATTTAAAACAACATGAACACTTTTAAATTTTGTTTCAATCTGGGTACTTCATTTAAAAAAGTTATCAAGGTTACTAATTCACAAATTATATCATTCAATTCTATTCTCTCCTCACTTCTTTAATAGGCTGGCCCTTGTTAAGGTTCTCTTTAACATATATCAATTTTTTTTGTTACAGAAAGTGAAAATATCATCTTTTTATATTAACTTTCTAATCTTTTCATTTGGTCTTTCACAATCATAAGGTATAAGAACCCTATGTTATTTTATTTGGGGTTTTCCTCCGGCATCTAATAAAATCAAAATAACAAATGTCAAAGTTAAGGTTATACTTTCCACATGAAATTAAATAGACTTTGAGGGAGTGTTTTGATGATTTTCTTCTCCCTCCTTTTGATTTTTCCTCCGTTCTTCATTATTGTTCTAACCGACCTCCTCTCTTTCTTACTACTTCAATGTTTTTTGATTTTTCACTTTATCTCTATTTTTCTCTCACTCCAGTATCTTGTATGGGTGGGGTGCAAGGAATTTATTTTATGAAACTTGTAAGAGAAGAGACTGTTATGACTATTTCAGTTGGCTACGGAGGAAAAGAATAGTCTTTCTCTTCTCAATGTATTTATACTTTCTCTTAACTAAGGGTAGACCATGTTTGGATGTTGCACTACTAAAAAATATAGTAATTAGCAACGGACTACTCCGTTGCAAATATTACTAAAATCCGTTGCTAAAACAATTTAGCAACGAAATCAGCAACGACAAAATTCGGATGCAAATTTGTCGTTGCTGATTTGTTAGCAACGGATTTATCCGTTGCTGATTTCTTTGCAACGGAAAATCCGTTGCTTATAATTAGCAACGGATAATCCGTTGCAAAATGAGCAACGGATAATCCGTTGCTTATTTTGTGAATCAGCAATGGATTCTCCGTTGCTGAATGATGCATTAGTTACAATCACCAACGGAGAATCCGTTGGTGATTATATTATTTTTTATTAAATTATTTTTTATTTGTTTATTGCAATGATTTTTAATTTTAATTAATTAATTTAATTATTTATGGATATTTTAAAAATTTTAAAATATATATAACCAACACAATTTAATATTAAAAATAATTGTATCATTAATAAAAAATAGAATAAAACTAATATTCATATAATAAAAATTTAGTTAAACTTACATCAATACAATTAAGTTCAAATACAATAAAAAAAACAACAAAAGATACAATCATGGTGCCGGTTGCGAAGACGAACCATGATATTGTGGATCGATACAAGATTGATCAGGATATAAAGGTCGAGGTGTAGGTCGAAAAATTGGTTGAGATGTGGGTCCCATAGATGTCATTATCTGAGGAGCCATAGGTGGCGATATTGCTGGAGTCAAAGATGGTGGCATACCTTGATCAATATTTGATGTCCCATCATTGTATCCAAGATTGTTCACAAGATATTCTTTCATGGAATCCATCTGTCGTTTCATTTCAAGAATAAATTCATCTTTTTTCTTTATCTCCTCTTCTTTATCCTTTATCTCCTTTTGCAATGCTCGATACGATGAACTGGGATATGATGACTCCACTGAGTAGGAATGTGATGAAGAGCTTGGACTAACTATAGATTTTGGCATACGAGGTGCACCATATACCCTACCCTTTGTAACTCCTCCTGAAGCCACACACCAAGCTGCTCCATCAAATGAAGGATGATTTTCCCGATTACTTCCATACTTTGAAATCATCTCCATTTTATAATTTTCCTATAAAAAAAATACATGCAACAATAAATTCATTTGAATGTTAAATGATAATTAAGTTATATTAAGAAATAATCAAATAAAAATACATACAACCACTTTTTTCGACTTGTTGTCGACGAAGCCACCAGACTGCTTAGTACTTTGATGCAAAGCTGAAAAGACATCATCCCATGGAGGTTCTTTTCCACCAGCTTCCTCTTGCTTTCAAGATTAATAAATATTATAAAAGATAAAAATACAAATTATAATTTCTTATCTTAAGCATTAAAAAAAAAATTCTTACCATGTTAGCTCGATATGATGCAAATGACACTGTTCCTCCAGAATGAGTGCTTATTTTGCCATCTGTTTTGGTTAATCGATTCCTCCTAGCAGATTCAGACCTCCTTTGAAATTCAGGGGTGGACCAAACATCTTTGATCATTTGATTCCAGTCATCATTATTTATCCAGGCAGGACCTTTATCAAGGCAATCTACAATATTTGTAGTGTTTTCTTTTGACATGGCTTTCTTGCGAGCTCGTGTTAATTGTTGATTCAAAGCTATCCTTGCCTTATCTTCCCAAATATTACGAACAATCGACTCATCTTCCTCAGGAAAAGAATATTTTTTTCTACCAAATAATATATATACGAAGTAAAAAAAGTGCACAAAATTTCAAATTATATAAATAATTAACATATTGTGTTATCTTGTTCAAAATTTGCAAGATGATGTAATAACTATAGAAATTAAATGATATTAAAAAGTAAACATGAAATAAGTACAAATTATAACACAAATCAATCATAGCTAATTGATAATTTTCATAATCCTACATTAAAGTTATCAAAATTAAAAAGAATATTATGGCAATTAGTGTTGGTTCTTACCTTAAACTCTTTAAACAGTTCATCCCTGCACATTGAATCTACTTTTTCCCAAGAGTGCCATGCTCCCTTAAAATTGGACCTCAAAATATCTCCGATTGCACGCCCACACGATGCGTTATTGAACCTGAAAATATATAATAACAAACTTATATTAAACAAATAATTACACAATAAAAAGTAATTTTTTTCATACCTGAAAATATAACTTTAATAAGTTTGTTTTCAAAAGTTTGAACTAACTCTGTTGTTCCATACAAACAAAGCTCTTTTTTTCTTGTTATTGGATCTATTGGCGTGTCAAAACCCTTCCTTTTAACACTTTGATCATAATTGTGTGGAGAACATGTTGAACCATGATATGATGGAACACCATCTTGATCCTCATCACATACACCTCTCTCATTACTATCGTCTCCCTCGTCTTCATCTCTAACGTTCACATCATCATCATCACCATTAACTCTCTCATAACTCCTATACAAATTATGTCCTCCATAAACAAATTGGTTATCTCGAGGGAAACCTCCTTGAGTTTGAAGCAAATCTTGGAAACGAAAGCCCTCACAATATTGATATGCATCAACCCTCCCATAATCACGTTGAGGAGGATGTGTACTCCCCAAAGTAGGTATATAATACTCATTTGCATTCTGATACACAGGTTGATGAAATGTGGATCCTTTGTTATTATGCCTTGATGTAGTTTGAAATGATTTGGATGAAGTGGACCTGTCACTCCTTGATGTGGACCTGTCACTCCTAGAATCTAATATAGATCCTCGTCGAGGCATGCTAAAAACCAGAAAAAATATATACATTATGATATGAATATATACACATAACAATAAATTAGCTTATAATTAAACTATGAGGAACAAAAGATTCACAATATTTTCATTAAGCATTCCTTGCAATGATAAAAATCAGCCATGAAGTTTAAATTATCAAAAGCCAATTAACACAAACAATAATAAAAATAAAAATCTAAATAATTAATTAAGCAGAAATCAAAATTTATGAGTATACTTACCTTAATGTTTGTTCTTATAAATCAAACACTGAGTAGGAAAAACCTTTTCATTCATTCTTCAACATCTATAAGCAAGAAAACAAATCACAAAATAAAATATATCATCAGAATCACAATTTAAATATTGATACTTGAAAGGTTAGAAATTTTTTCAAAGGTCAATGAAAATGATATATGCAATGTGATACATAACACACTATGATAAAATAATAAATAAAAAACATTGAAAAAGTAAATATTGTCAAATAATATGAAATTATCCATACATATATTAAAGATAATTCATTACATATACTACAAAATATAATTAAATTGCGCTACTCATTATTATCATCACTCCTAGCCATCACCACCATAACAATCATCCTCATCCTCATCATCATCATCTTCTTCTTCACCGTCATCGTCACCGTCACCATCACCATCACCATCATCATCACCATCACCATCATCGTCACCATCACCGTCACCATCATCATCTTCTTCTTCATCATCTTTGTTTCCCCAATTTATGTCAAGTTGAAGCAATTCATGTTGCCCGATTTCTTCATAATAAGATGATTCAACAAGTATATTTGGATCATCAAGTGTTTGAGTAGGAAGGACATAACATGGTTGAGAAATCTCATCTGATTGATCAACATCAAATGATGTTACATTGTTGGCATCTTTAATAAATTCACCCATGTCAACATTATAACGACTTCTAGCAATTGTCTTAATAACCGTCCACCATTCAGATGATTTATTACCAGGTGGATATGTATAGTAGACTTGTTGACATTGTTGTGCTAGCACAAAATCTTCATTTCCTTGTAGTCGAGATGTATGCTTGATTTCAACCAAACCATTCGAAGGATGCACTCTAATTCCTCGTCTTGTATCATACCAATTACACTTAAACATGAATAACTTGCACTTACTCCCTAAGTATTTTAGCCGAACAACTTCTTTAAGCATTCCATAATAATCACGTTCATTATCATCATAGCAACTTCCTTTCACACAAACTCCACTGTTCATTGTCTTTTTAAAACGACCATAACGTTGAGTATGAAATTTAAAACCATTCACATAATACCCATTATAGCATTTCACTGAAGTTGAAGGGCCCATAGCAAGTCCAAAAAGCTGATTTTGAATTCCATTAGATTGGTATTCCACCTAGCATAATAGTTAACTCCATAAGAAATAATAATTTAAAAGAGATTAATAATATTTTTAAAGTAACTAATTGACATAAAATATAAATTAATTTTATTAAAATACTTACATTATTTTTTAACCAATTTGGAAAGATCACTTCGCATATTTTTTCAATTTCACCATCACTCGCATATGGTTGTTGTGACTTTAGCTCTTGACGGCATTGCCTAAAATTTAAAAAATGTTAAAGTTAATAATAAATTATTATAAATTTAGTAAAAAATAATATTTCATACTTACTCTAAATAAGGCTTCAGTTCTTGACAATTGAATATCACATAGTTGTGCGCAATTTGCATTTCAGCATGTGACAACTGCCTTCTATAAAATCTTTTGGATAATTTTTTTCCTGGATAGGAAAAAATAGAGAGACATCCATCTACACTTGTAAGGCCACCATCATCATTCCGTGGAACTCGATTCCAAATTGTTTGCACGTCATCACCAAAATAATGAGATGCAAAATTGGTAATTTCATCAATCAAGTACGCCTCACATATGGAACCCTCAACTTTAGCTTTATTGGTAACTTTCTTCTTCAAATAAAACATATACCTATATCATTTTTTTCAATTAGTTTATTAAAAAAAAATGAATAAAATGAACATAGTATGAAACATACCGTTCAAATGGATACATCCATCGATATTGAACTGGTCCACCAACTTTTGCCTCGTAAGGTAGATGTATCATCAAGTGTTCCATGGAGTCAAAGAAGGATGGAGGAAAAATCCTTTCAAGTTTGCAAATTATTTCAATTATATTCATCTGCATTAACTCCATGTGCTGGGCATTTAAATTTGTTGAACAAATATCTCGAAAAAATACGGATAGTTCAGTTAATGCCTCCCACAATGGTCTAGGTAAGTAAGGTCGGAAAGCAGTTGGAAGAAGTCTTTGAATGAAGACATGACAATCATGGCTCTTCATCCCCGAAACCTTACATTGTGCCTCTTTCACACATCGTGAAATGCTTGAAGCATAACCATCAGGAAATGATAACTCCTTCATCCATGACAACACTTCTTGTTGTTGTTTCTTGTGTAGACAATAAGTGCTTTTAGGTTTGTAAACCCGACCACTCATATCTTGTTGCAAATGTAAATTTGGCTTATGACAATACAATTGAATATCCAACCTAGCCTTTAAATTGTCCTTGCTTCTATAAGGACAATCCATTACTGTATAAAAAATATTGTCAAAGACATTTTTCTCAATATGCATGACATCAAGATTATGACGAATCAAATTTATATGCCAATATGGAAGCTCCCAGAAAATACTCTTCTTCACCCAATTGTGTTTAACACCAAATCCTGGAATTTTAACATTATATGATGAACCTCCAATATATCCCTCAGTATACTTGGACACTTCATTTAACATTTCCAAACCAGATGGACGAGGTATAGGAGGGAGCCTTTCAATTACTCCTTTCAAAAACTTATCTGATTGATGTCTATATGGGTGGTTCATGGGTAGGAATCGTCGATGACAATCAAAAAATGTAGTTTTCCGTCCATTTTTTAATCTAAAAGCCTTGCTATGCTCCATACAATAAGGACAAGACAGATTTCCATGAGTACTCCACCCTGATAACATGTCATATGCTGGAAAGTCACTAATGGTCCACATCAAAGCTGCCCTTAATTGAAAATTTTCTTTTCTGTAGACATCATATGTTTCAACACCAACAGACCATAAATTCTTTAACTCATCAATCAAAGGTCTTAGAAAAACATCAAGCTTTTTACCCGGATTCTTTGGCCCAGGAATCAGCATTGTCAAAAACATGAATGGTCTAGTCATGCACTTCCACGGAGGCAAATTATAAACAGTCACAATTACTGGCCAACAAGAGTATGTATTTGAAGACATGTCAAATGGACAAAACCCATCAGTGCACAACCCTAATCGAATATTTCTCGGATCTGATGCAAAGCTGAAGTGAACACGATTAAACTCCTTCCATGCCTCCCCATCAGATGGGTGCACCATAACCCCATTATCTGACTTGTGATAATGATGCCATGTCATATCTTTGGCGTGATATGGAGACATGAACAGTCTTTGAAGCCTTGGTGTTAAGGGAAAGTATCGAAGTTGCTTCTCTGCCTTACTGGAACCTTTACTGGTTGGATTTCTAGGTTTGTATCGTGAACTTCCACAAAAATCACAATTTGTTTTCATTGCATCAGCCCCATAGTACAACATACAATAATTAGGACACACATCAAATTTCTCATACCCAAGTCCAAGTGGTCGCATAAATTTCTTGGCATCATAAAAATTTGATACCAAATTTTCATCATTAGGCATGCAACTTTTTGTAAAATCAATAAAATTGTTGAAGGCATTCTGAGTCAAATTAAATGTTGACTTCATATTAAGCAATTGTACACAAGCAGATAATTTGGATTGCTTGGTACACCCATCCCACAACGGCTCCTCCGCAGCTTTCAAAAGATTAAAAAATTTAGTTGCCTCCGGATTTGGAATTTCCCCTGCTACCATAGGACTAGACATGTTATCATTATAGAATGCATCACCAACCCCCATTGCATCTATAACTAGATTTCTATATGGATTCTCTAGACAAACATCATTCATAACATGACTCATTCCAATTGATGAAGGTCCAGCCAATATTGGTTCCGTAACATAAGGCTCCCCATGTACTGTCCAATTTTCATAACAAGGTATAAAACCTTTTGTCAATAGATGTTTACAAACATCATCTTCCTTTAAAAACTTTTGATTTTTGCACCTCACACAAGGACATCTAATTTTTCCCCCAGATATATTTTTATCAATTGAAAATGCAAAATTGATAAATCTTCTAACACCGGTAATGTATTCAGGACGAAGGCGACCATCCATAAGACGACGATACATCCATGATCGATCATCCATGTTAATCTAATTAACAGGACAACACCAATAAGTATTTTTAGAAATAAGCATACTTCTTTAACTACTACTATTTAAACAATCCTTTAAAATAAAATATGTACAACATGAATAAACTATAATTATTTGTCCAGTTCAAACATATATCAAGCCAAAAAATGTTAATGATGGGATATATGCACATGTGTTTGTTAAAACCTGGATAATTATTTTCCTTCTAGTCTTTGTTATTGAGTTTTTGTTAAATGCTTTAAATAAATCTTAATAATTTTCATTTATATTTATATAAGCCAATTATTGACAAAAGTACACTTTTAGATTATGTTTGATTAGTATTCTATACAGAATAAATCGATAAAGAAAAAAAATATTTAGTTGAAAAAATATTAAATAAATTTATCTTTACAGTAGTTTTGGATTTAATTTTTTTTTATTGATCCTTCTAACTTTTGTTACAACCTCAAATGAGTTTTTTATTTTTTTTTAGCCTTTTATTTTTATTAGATCCATCAAACTTTTTTATTTTTATTCAAATCTTTTTTTGGTAAACTAAGAAATGGTAAATGAAATCATAATCATATATTCAAATCTTTTTATTTTTATTCCAACATTTGTATCTTTGTCTCTTTAATTATATACAATGTATCTATGTTTTATATCATAGTGAAATAATAATTAAATATCAATTATTTTTTTGATACTTGTCTTCTCATAACAAATATTTTTTTTCATTTAAGATCCAACCTGATAAATTTCATTTAATTTAATAACAAGGAACTAACTTATAGTTTTCAAAAAAATTAATTATAATTTACTGTAATTATTATCTCTTAAAACCTATAACTTAATATGAATTTTTATGGGCAGGACATAGTTTTTCTACAAAACCAAGCCTTTGCATAAAA